AGTCCTCTTTTTTTTTCTTCTTTTTTTTTTAACGCACAAATAACACAACACGGAAGAATAAAAAAGAAGAACAGGAACGACAAAAAAAATTGGGGTTGCCGCAAACAAACCACCCCCCCAAAAAAAGAAAACATATCCCACCAACCCACACAAAGGAAAACACAGTGAGGGGTGCGCTCGTATACAAACAAATATATAAACAAATAAGTAAATAAATATACTTGTATATATGTATGCGTGTCTGTGTGATTGGCCGCCACCTCCCCCCTCGCCTCTTTAAGCGCATTCACTTCTTTTAATGTACTTGCGGTTTCATTCCTTCAGTTTGCTTTACGTAAATACCCTTGTGCCTAGATATATATATATATATGTATATATATATATCTGGAATTTTTTCTACTACTCCGCGTGCTCCTCGTGTTACTCGTCCCCTGTGGTTGTTTCTTAATCATACGGTGAATCACACCACACTCGCTGCTCCTCTTCTGTATAAAAATATATACGTGCAAGATCCACTGTTGCTGCTGCTGCTTCTTCCTTCTCCTGGGATAGGCACCACGCACAAACACAAACACAAACACGCAAGCACAAAAAAAGTCCGAGTTCTCTCTTCTTCCTTGCCGTCTCCTTATTACTTAGCTTTTGTCTTTCTTTCTTTTTTTTGCTTTTGTTTTTTCTTTCCCTTTCTCGCTTTTCTGGTTCTGCGCATGTGTGCCAGCTTTGCCCACTCGCAGCTTTACACGTATTAGGTGTGGTTCCTTGCAGAGCGCTCTTTAGTGCGGCACGTCTCCACTATTCAACTTCCCCGCCTCGCCCACCCACCCCGTTGGAGGCGGGCGTGGTGCCCGGCCTAAGGAGAGAAGACGACGGGGGAGTAGAACTGCTGCGGGCACCCGCCAGGCGACATCATGGTGGTCGGCAAAACAAACGGCTGCGGCGTGCCGGCGGGGGAATTGGCCCAGGGCGGCATTGTGACGTACACCGGCATCCCCATCATGGGGGGCTGAAAAAAGGCGGGGGGCATGGGAAGGTAGCCTGGCTGCGCGGGGAAGGAGGCCGCTGGGGGAGCCATCTGCTGCTCCATTGCCACTTGATGGTAGAAAATGGGCTGTGTGCTCGGAGCTGCAATGCTGCCGTTGTCGCTGTATCGGCTGCCGCTTCCAACGTCGCTAGGGGGAAACAGCGTCGAATTGACTGTTGCCTGCGACGGGGTGATGGGCGGCGTGAGCTCTCGGCTGGAGCACGGGGAAAGCGGGATGCTCTTCGTCAAGCCCAGAGGGCCGTCGGTCATGCCCGCCGTGCTGTGCAGGCTGGAATTCGGCGTGCGGTGCAGCTTTGACGAGAGCCGCGCGCGACTGATGGGCGGGTGCGCCGACACTGGGTCGAGCGGGGCGGGTGTCGCGGCAACGTCGGCGAGTCGCGCCTGGAGCGTTCGCCCGCCCAGCCAATGGCCGTTCAAGTGCTTGATACATTTGGCGGCGGCCCCCTCCTCAAAAAAGAGCGCAAAGCCATACCCCTTCATTGGACGGCACTTGGTGTCAATGCACAGCTTGGACGCCTCGACCCGGCCAAAGGCCTGACACATCTCGCGGAATTCCGCGGCGCGAAACGTCTCTGGAAGGCCGGAGACGTACACATTGCGTCGCTGAAGTGCGTTGTCGCCCCCCTTTGCCTGGGGAGCCGAGGTGGCGGCGGCCGCCGCGGCCTTGTCTTGCGGCGGCTGCCGCGGCCCCATGGGCTCCGGGTTCGTGGGGCTCGAGACTTTCAACGAGAGGCTCATGTCGTGCCTGCTGTTCCCGCCCGGGTGGAGTGGGTGAGGAATCAAAAACGAGTGGCTGGGAATAGTCGGGGAGAAAAGCCCGTCTGGTGGTTCAGTTGCTCTGCGTGCGAAATGGTTACCTTCTAGCGGCACGCAACGAAACGAGGAGGCAGCGCGGGGGAAGAGGGAGAGAGAGAGAAGGCAGTTTGGCTCTCCGCAAAGACAACGACACACGCAAAGTCGCACACGCAGATGTGTATTAAGTAAATATATACACAAAACCTAAAAAAAAAAAACGGAGAGACTCACGCAGCCCCTTTAGACGCGGCAGCGTCCAGAAACCGGGACCCCGCAGCGTCAGTCGCACCAGCCGTGGCGGTGGCGTGCAGGTGCCGCGCAGAAGCCGCGGAGGGTGCGGAAGAGGGTACCGCCCACCACAAGCTGCAGCAGCCACAAACAGACGAACAAAAAGCAAAAAAAAAAGGCAACAACAATGATCATAAAGACGCGTTAAAGGAATACGTGCAGTGTCGCTCAACGCGCAGCCGCCCGACGGGGCAGCCTGGGCAGCGGTGTCATGTGCCCTGTCCTGCTTGCGTGGCGGTGCCTCGCCGCGTCCCCGCAAAGACGACAGCGCACAACAGCCGCCGTATGTCACGCGCCCTTTTTTACTCCGCATGCACGCGTTGCAAAAAGAGGCTGAGGCCCGTGCCGCCCGTGTGTGCCTGTGTGTGCGTGCATGCAGAGGCGGAAGAGGCTACCGCGGGCACAACGTTGCCCCCCTCCCCCCCACCCACCACCAGCCATTCCTGGGGAGCAACTGCAGGATTAACGACGCAAAGAAAAAAAAAGAGGAGGAAAAGTAATTGTGGGGCATCAACAGAGTGAAAAGAGAAGAAAAGCAGGACGCAGGAGGCGACGGCAGACAAAAAAAATAATTTGAACTTCACTGCTGCTTTGATGCAAACATATCAACAAACCACGCTTTACATGTTATGCAGTTAATGTATTGTAAGTGTGCATGTGCGTGTGCGTCTATTGCTTCATTAAGAGGACGGCGGCCACAGTAAGTGAAAGTTAAAGCAAAAAAAAAAATCGTATATATTCATTTATACCATCGCCACTCCACCCGTCCCGTTTTATTCGTTTTCTTGACAAACCAGACAAAGAAACAAACAAACAAAAAATAATAATAATAAGTTCCCCTTTTCCAGTGCTGGGAAGGCCACCCAACGCACGATTTTCTATCGCACACGCACACACGGCCTTAGATATGTATATATATATATATATATACTCCACCTACTGCTACTACGCCTCCTCCTGCGGTGTAGGACTCTTTTTCTCCCTGCTTCTTTGTGCGCGGCGTCGCAATGAAATTTGCGACGCGGCCCCTCTGCTGACAAGCGTGCCGGCGGCAGACGCCGAGCCATGCGGCCCGCCGCCGCTGATAGACGCGCCACCGTGCACGCTGCGGCTGGTGATCTCCAGCTGCTGAATCATCGACTTCACCTTCTGGGCGTCCTCGCCGAGCTCGCGGAGGAACCTGCTGAGCGCCTCCTTCACCCCGGCCAACTCCCTGAGCGTCAGCGCCACCTGCTGGCCGCCCGCCGCCCCCGCGTCCTTCGCCACCGGTGGCCCGTCACGGCCCGGCTGCGCGGCGCCTCCCTCCTCGTCCATGCCGGCCGCCTCCTTCTCCGCGTCGCCCACGCCCCCCTGCTCCTTCTTGTCCTTCTCCAAGGTGAGGCACTTCTCCTCCGGAAAGAAGCTGAGCTCGTTTCGCTGAAGCTTCGCATCCACGTACGACTCCTGCCCTGTGAACTCGCTCGGGTCCTTGCGCCGCAGGTAGTGGATAAAGTAAAGGTACATCCACATATTGTGCTCCTGCCGCACGTGCGCCCGGAGCCCGCCGACGTGGGCCTTTTCAAAGACGTCCGCATTCAGGCCGCAGACGAAGCAGGTGCTCTGCATGTCCACCTCCTTCTCCCGCTTCGCGTCACGCAGCTCGCCAAAGGTGTCGATGATGAGACCAAACATGATGTTAAGGAACACGACGTTGACAAGGGAGAAGAAGACCAGGTCGTAACTGAGGCGTGGGAACAGGGTTCCGCTCGACCACGGCTCCTCCTGCATGATGTCGCCGACACCGCCGCCCTGGCGAAGCCCCTGCCAGAGAATAAACAGAAAACAGCGGAGGAGGCTGACGCAGTTCTTGTTGGCGCCATCGTCGCTGTCAAACTGCTGCGGAAAAAGGAGGTAGCCAACAATGGCGAAGAGGTACAGCACGACAACCCCGAGAAAGGCGGTCAACAGAAGCTGCTTCCCGTTCTGCGTGATGGCGTTGATGAAGGTGCGCAGGGTGGGCACCTTGTAGATGATCAGCAGCAGGTGGGCGGCGGCAAAGTAGCGCGAGACGAAGAGGGCCAACGCGGCCATCGCCACAAGGAAGATGTGGAACTGGATGGTAAAGCGGGCGCAGAAAAGATAGACCACCTCGCGGGCGCTTAGCCCGGCGAAGACCTCCTGCATCGTTGCGTTGGTCTTTGCGCTGCCCGACCACAAGTGTTGCTTGAGCCGGTACTCCTTGTAGAGGAGCACCGGGAAAAACACAACGGCGTCCACGCACAGCGCCGCACAGGAGAGCAGAAACTGTAGAACGCAAAGGTACGTGATGGTGGAATTCAGGAAGCGCACGGTCGCCGTGCTCCACATCACCCCCTGCACCGAGATGAGCTCCACGTTGATGAGCACGGCCAAAACGACGGAGGCGTACTCGTAGTACGAGAGCTGCGAGGAAAAGATGAACGGCGCCAGGTACTGATTCCAGCATCGCTTTAGGGTGTAGAGCCGCACCCTGTTCTCCCTCACCGCCTCCTCCGTGGGCAGAGCCTCGCTCTCGGCGGCGGTGTCGGCGTTGGTCAGGCGAAAACGCGTCCAGCGCCCAACCCAGCGATGGAAGCCGTGGGCCCGCTCCACCTCAAAAATAAGGTTGTCCGTCTGATGCAGAAAGTCGCCCAACTTCGTCGCCCGGCTGGTGCGGTTGACACCCCAGAGTACGTCGTCCTTGATGCTCTGCGAGAGCCCGTGGCAAATGAAGGGGATACGGAAGAAAACCTGCTCAAGCAGCCCATCCTCGCGCTGGATCTCAATCATGCCCAGGCGCTGCTTCAGCTTCACGGTGTGGCGCAGGATCTCGTCAATGTGCCGCAGGTAGAGCCCCTCGGCGTAGGGCCGGATCGTGTTGAGGAAGATGAGCCAGTTGAAGAGGGTCGCCACGCACGGGTCATCCTCAAACGTCTCATCCTCGAGAATGCGATCGCACAGCTCCGGCCTGGCGATTGAAAGCTGGCGTTCGATGACGTCAATGGGAATCTGTGCGAGGACGCAGCGAAAGATCTCGGGCGAGCGGCAGCCTTCGATGAGGGAGAGCAGACACGTGGTGAGCGAGGTGCGGAGGCAGTCCACGTCGGTCTTGGTCAGCCGCACATCACGTGTTGGCGCCCCATCTTGGCTGTGTTTCTCAGCCACCCCGCTCACCTCAGTGGCGTTCATTCTGGCTTGCGGCGGCGGGGCGCCAATGATTTCCCGTCGGCTCAGCAGGTCAAGCAGGGCACAGATCGACACACATACGTCGTAGCTGAGCAGCGCCTCCTGATTTGCGTGGCACGGGCCCTGGCACAACTCCGTCAGTAACTCAAAGCCCCCACGCACCACGTCGACGGTGGCGTAGTGCACAATTTTGGATAGCTCCGTGACGAGCAACATTACCTCGTAGACAAGGTTCACGCTATGCATGTTGTCGTGCTGGGAGCGAATGTAATTCTGCATGCCGAGGTTGTGGCCCTCGCAGAAGAGCTGCAGCATGCGAAAGAGCTCCTGGAGAAGTCGTAGACGCATGCAGCCTTGCACGCGGTCCCACCCAAGCGTGGGGTGCTTGCTGCTCCCGCCGTAGTCGCGGTATGAAGAGGACTTAAGTACGGCGGCGAACAAGGCGGAGGTGGACCGCGTGTTTGATGCGGAAAAGAGGACCCCGCCACGTTCAAGAATGACAAGCTGCTGCTCCAGGTTAATGCGCCGTACCCACCACAGCGACCGCTGCAGCAAGTCGCGAACGTTGTAGCAGAACCCGCCTGGGTGCGCCTCCAGGTACTTCAGCAGCGTGAACTGTGCCCGCTGGTTGCCGCCCTCGAGAATCATCACGCCGAGGCGAACCGCGCTGTACGTCAAGACGTCGTCGTCGAGGTTGCAGAGGGCGGTGACCATGTGCGACACGCCCAGCTCGCTGAAGGTGAGCTGCAGGTTGTACCCGGCGTCGTCGTGCCCCAGACTCGTCTCGGCCTCCGGCGACTGCGGCTCTGTGGGTTGGAGGCTGGTGTGGAGGGCGTTGTAGAAGAGATTCAGCAGGCCGATGAGCGCCATGGGGCTGAAGTAGCGCTTCCGCATGCCGTCCAGCGCATTCCACACGAAGCCGCGGATCCCCGAGAGCCCCGTGCTGCGACGAAGCAGCGCGTTCGCCACACTCGCCGCCTCGCCTGGTGCGAGACTGTCCTCTACGGGGATCAATACGTCATTCTTGACGAACGCGCCAAGGGCGTCGCGGATGCGCTCCACGTCGCGGCGTCGCGCCGCGGCGCCAGAGAGGAATAAGCCTCTAGAAAAGGAATCACTCAAGGAGTACTGTATGCTCCGCGACATGCCCTCGCCGGCAAGGAAAATGTCTCGTGTAGTCGAATATTCGTCCACGTCATTGCCCCGCGCCCTCCTTTCCAGTACAACGTGCTGCTGTCGCTGCCGCTCCGCCTTGTAGTCCCGCTCGCGCTGGAGCAGCCAGTGCACGATGTGGTTGCGGGCGGTGTCCAGCTCCTTCGCGAGGGGTTCCAGCCCGACGATGCCGACCGTCTGCATGTGCAGCACGCCGAGCAGGCGGCGGTAGTTCACGGCCTCCCGAACGCTGAGGTCAAGTGGACCCGCAGAGGAAATGAGCGTCACCCCGAACTTCATGAGGGTGCCGCACATGGCGTGAAGGATGGGCCCCACAGAGGATTGATAGTGGTAAAAGGTCGCCTCTGAAAAGCAGTCCGCGAAAAAGGTGAGGAGTGTAACGGGTATCGACATAAGCCACACATGCCTGTAGCGCTGTATCACGCGCAGGCCACGGTTCACCACCTTTCCCTTGTTTTCCGCAATAAGGTCCGTGAGCCCCTGCAGCTGCTCCATCAGCATCGTCACAACCGCCCACCACTCGCTGTTGCCCATCCACTCCAGCTTGCGCAGCTCCTTTCCCTGGCCCCCCTCCTCCCCGTCCGCGGTGATGTACAGCGAGACAAGGGCACGCAGGTAGGTCCCCACAACCTGGAACTTGGTTCTGTCCACGTCGTCGCGGTTGTGGTGCAACGAGTGCAGCGGGCTGAAGTGGGAGCCGTACGCCAGGATGATGGAAAAAATGTTGTTCATCGGAAGCGCCCGCTGCCCCATCGCCAGCGCGCTCGTGGAGGAGCTGCAGATGTGGCACAGCAGCTCCACCATGGAGGCAATGAAGCCGCAGCCGACGGGCGGCGCCGGAACCCCGGGGCCCGGCAAGCACCGCAGAGTGTTGTGGTCCCGCAGAAGCTGCATTATCCGCCGCCGCGCCACGCCGCCCACGGCCGGGTTGGCAAAGACGTAGCTGCTCAGCTGCGAGAGGAAGATATCGTCCGAGTGGCGCGCCGACACCTCGCTGTCGATGTACTTCACGCACTCCTCGAGGAAGACGTTGCTGAGGTACGGGGTGGGGTCGGCGATGGAGGCAAAGATGGCGACGATGATGTGCAGGCACATGACGGTGCAAACCGGGTTAAGGGTCAGCGAGCGCATGAAGAGGTCGATGCTGCCCAGCAGCTTCCTCGCGTTGTCGCGGGAAAATGTGAAGAGGTAAAAGAACCGCATCCACTGGAAGAAGGCTGGGCTGTCGGGGTCAATGCACGGGTGCATGCGCAGGAGCGTGAGGTGGATGCCCCAGTGGCACACCATCTCCACCCGGATGACAAGCCGCAGCGGCGCCTGCGACGTGTCACTGAGCCCCACGGAACGGCGGCGGCGGCGGACGGCGTTACGGTACGCCAACATGCGCACAGCCCCGGCCGCCTTTTCCCACAGATGACGTTTACCGGATTTTGTCCTTCCCACCCGAACCGCGCCGGCCTCCGCCTCCTCCGCGCTGGCATCCTCCCCACTTACATCCGCGCTGTCGAGCAAGTGCTCCTCCTCCTCGTCGTCGTCCTCCTCGTCCTCCCCTTGCTGCTGCTGCTGCGGCTCCTTCGCTGCGACGGCCGTCTGCGGCCTCTCAGGCTCCTCAACACTTGCGAGGGCAAACGCGACGGCGTCGTCAAAGCACCCACGTCGATGCAGGGTGAGGGTGTGCACCGCAACCGTGTAGAGGTGGTCAAAGCTGTGCACAACCTCGGAAGAGGGGAGCGTGTGCACCTGCAGAACACGCTGCGCCACGGTGCGCCGCACCGCGCAGAGGCGAATCAGCAACTCCGTCGCCTGCGCTGTTAGCTGCGGACTGTCGTAGCGGGTGAGGTCCATGAGCAGCGGGACAAGCTTATCCACGCGAAATTGCCACATGATGCTCTTGCACATGCCCTTCAGTTGCTCCACCACCTCCGTGGCGCTAACGCCGCCGCCCATCTCATGTGGCTCGCCCACCGCGTCAAGGGAGTGGTATCCGCCCCGGAGACGGCGAAGGAGGCCGCCCTCGCCGTCCTTCGCCGGCAGCAGGCTTTGCTCCTCCTCGGGCCATATTTTCAGCTTCATCTGCGACTCAGCGTTGGGGCCGCCGTCGGCGCCCAAGAATCCGCTGATTCTGCTGCGTGGAAACCTGACGCCCTTGACGAAGGCGTCGTCGAGAAACTGTATGATGTCGTCTGCCGCCATGTTGGAGACGCTCTCCAGCAGCTGGAGGAGGGTTATGCAGATCATCTCACGCGTCTCCATCACCTGCACGCTGGCCTCGGAGACCTCGAGACGGGTGAGGGTGTGGGCGGCGACCTTGCTGGCGCTGTCGTCGATGACGTCCTTGGTGCCGTCCAGCAGGCTCAGCAGCGGCGGGATGAGGCCGCACATCTCACACGCAGAGACCTGCTGGGCCACGGTGAACCGCAGCCAGGCGTTCAGCGAGGTGCGCAGCAGCACACTCCGCGCCACGTCGGACTGCACAAAGTGTGGATTGGCGCGGATAATGCTGAGCGATGCAAACTTCACTGCGCTGATCAGGTCGTCGTCGAGGTTGCCGGAGATCGGCAGCTGGGGGTTCTCCGGCAGACGGAGAGAGCTGGAGCCAAACAGGACGGTGCTCGCCCGCAGCTGCACCGCGATGTCGTCGATGCGGGGCATGATGTAGCACTGCAGCGCAAGCCGCAAGACGCGGCCACGCAGCAGGTCCAACGGACTGGGACGCCCCATCACCTCCGCCCCGGTCCAGACGAACGTCTTTACGGCCCGCAGCAGCACCTCCGCGGGAAACACCTTCCCCACCTCCGCACAGCACACAGGGGGGCAGCCGTCAAAGCACAGGCAACCCAGTAGGTCGATCTCGCTTTGTAAAAATGAGGCAACTTTCGCATCCGTGCGCCGCTGCTGCTGCTGCTGCTGCTGTTGAGGACTGAAAACGGCGGTGTACGCGACCGGGGGCTCGCCCTCGTTCACCACCACAGCCCATTCCCCCTCGCCGTTCAAGACGAAGCGGGAAATCAAATCCCCGTTTTCAACGAGAAGCTTCTGGCACACCATGGCCTGCCTCCCGGCGATCCCGCGAAAGCCGATGGTGCACATGGCGGCAAACAGATCCACGTATCCGGCGCTGCGCACACGACGCAGGCAGCCAATGAAGTGGTCCGTTACAGACTCCACCACAGGCCTTGGAATGTTGACGTTGTCCGAGAAGAGTTCGGTGAGTGTGTCCACCACGTGAAAGCGGCGCCCGTCCAGTTCCAAGAGGTAGGGAACAAATTCATCCAACCACATTTTCAGCGTCGACGCCTTGCGCACCATCTGCCGCAGCAACCGCAACGCGAGGCGGCAAACGCGGTGGACGTCAGCGTGCGCCTCCTCGAGTATCTCGTCCAGCCAAACAACCCCGCCCGTGAGAGGCAGTGCGGGCAGTCGTGGGCTGCAGCCCCACTGGCGCATGCCCGCCACACGCTGCCCACCGGCGCCCTCCGCCTCCGTTGACCGGAGCAGCGCGAAGGGTGCGAGTAGGACATCCATAACAAGCCGGTGAATCGTCATGTCGAACATCATCCGCTGGCAGCGCGGTATCGGAATCCCGTCGAGGCGGAGCGCGTCACGTATGCGCGAGACGGAGCAGAAGCGGATGAGCTCCTCCAGGGTGCTCTGGCAGACACGAATGATGGGGAGGATCGACCTGTACGGCGCCTCCTTGCCGCCGTCGCGACGCCGAGGACGCAGGCTCGTGAAACCGGTGTAAACTTCGTCGTCCTGCACAAATGCCGCCGAGGTCCGTTTTGAAGACTGCTCAAGCGAGTCAGAACTCGTGAACTGCATGACGTAGGACCCCGCATCTCCCCCGCCCTGAAAACAGGAGGCGTGCCGCGAGGGGCGCAGCGACGCCATTGCCTGGAAGACGTCACGGTATCGGCAGAGCCTCTCGCAGTGCGAAGAGAGAAAGATGATCTTCTGCTCAATGTCTGAGCACGTCGACCGTGCAGTAATGGTGTCATGAACAGATGGCTGCCACTGGAGGCAAGGGCGGCCCTGCGCCTCCTCTGTGCAGACGTACATGCCCGTCAATACGTTTTGAAGTACAAGGCACTCATCTTCGATGAGGAAGCCGCACTCGGAAGCAAACATCGGGGTTATTGTAAAAAGCGTGCGCTCCAGATCCTTCTGGGTACGTGGCGGCGGTATCATGCAGAGCGAGATGGCCCGCGGTGAATTCTGGGCACTGCTGCGGCTTGCGTCACTTCGCCCCTCCAGCGAGGCCGCCTCAATGGGGTCCACTGGCTCCGCAAAGTCATTGTTCGCGTTATCCTCAAAAAAGGCGTCCACGCCGGAGCCGGCGACCGCCAGGTACAAGTTCGAGCACGCCTGCCGGAGGCGGTACCGCACGGACTCCATGCGCACGGGGCCCCCCACCGTCGGGTCCTCGTTCTCAAAGACCCAGAGCACGGTGCAGCTGTCCCTCGCATCGTCGAGGGCGGTCCCGCCGTTAAGCGCGGGGGCCGTCGGGGCGTCATCCTTCAGCAGCAGCGGGAACGGGGCAGCGTCCTCGTCGGCCTCCTCGGCACGGTCGCGGTCGTCGTCTTCGTTGCCGTCGCCTGCATTCCGCGCGACGGGTGCGGAGGCGCCGTCGCCTTTCGCCTGCGTGGCGCACCTCGAGCGGGCAATGCCCTCCGAAGAGGAGTAGCGCCGCCGCATCGGCAGCCCACCACCACCGCCGCCGCCCGCAACGTCCGCCCCCAAAAACTTTTCGGTCTCTTCCAACTGTTCCTGTTGCCGCTGCCGCTCCTGCCTCGTTGGCTGTGTGAGGCTCGTCGTGAGCAGGCTTTTGAGCTCGCGGTGGTAGAGGACGACGGGCTTCCCCGCGGGCACGCACGGCCGGGCGACTTGGTGCAGGGCGCGCTGACGGTCCGCCTGGTCCCTCCCAATGTCGTACCGCTGCAGCACGAAGACCACCGAGCGCTCCTCGGAGCCGTTGACCTCAAGCTGCGGGGCGTCGCTGGGATCGCTGGGAAGCACGTTCCTGTCAAACACGCTGAAGTTGCTGCAGCTGTTCTCTCCGGGGGACGTCTGGCCCGGCGCACTCGCGTCTGCCGCCTTTTTGGCCTTCAGGGCGGAGGCCGTGACGTGCACAAAAATGGGGTAAGCCGCCAGCCGCAGCAGCACCTCATCGCCGCGGCACACGGGATCCCCGTCGTCGTGGATTTTGTACCGTGAGGTCATGACAAACTCGCAGAAGCGCGGCTCCACCTCCCCCGGCGGCGCAAGCACAAGCTTCACGCAGTCAGGGTCAATGCCAGACGGCCGCGAGGGAAACACCGCCACGTGCATCTGGCTGACGGCATGCACGAGGAGGAAGGGCTTGCCGTATGTCAGCTGCGGCGCCGTGTTGAGGTTGCTGAAGTTCTCGCTGAAAAGCTGTTTGTTCTCGCGACTGCTGTCCAGCTCCTGCGTCTTTGCCGCGGAGCTCGACGCGGGGGCCTCGATGCGAAACACGCTGGTCTCAAACCCCAGCAGCGGCAGGGGCTCCTGGTCAATGTCGAGGTCGGTCTTGTCGCGGAGAAAGAGACCCTCCGCCTGCAGCCCCGCGGCCGTGATGTAGCCGTCCTCGCATGACAGGTGGACTAGGGAGTCGTACCTGACAGTAAGGCGCTTTCGGTCCATCAATAGACCCGGGCTCCTCTCAAACCCCGCACAGACGCACACGCACGCACAGGAAAAGAAAAAAAGGCTTGGTGTTTGCTGCCGCTGTTATGCCGCAAAAAAGGGCTGCTGATTACTACGATTAATACTACTAACAAGACTCCTAATGTTGTTGTCTTCGCTGTTTTGCTCAATCGATGGGGTATTTTGTCTCAAGGACGTTGAAGGCCTCTGAAGTATGTGAAATACGATGTTGGTTCAGCGGCAGTGCCATCACTCCAGGGCATGAGTGCGTGAATGAAGGAGGGGAAAAAGCAAAAGCAAAGCAAAAGGAAAAGGAGGGGGAAAAAAAAGACAAATCAGCACAGACGTACCCTACACATGCACATACGCATGCGCAGATAGCAAAGGCTAGCGAAAGTGGAGGCACAAGAACAGCGGGGGAGCAGCAAACCACCAGGCTTCAGCTTTTCTGCAATATTTTAACTCACACGCTGTCGTTGTTGCGTCTCGGTGTCGTTGTTGCGTCTCGGTGTCGTTGGCAAAGGGCACGGCTCTCGCGGCCGCCTCAGACGATGGAGCTGAAGTCTGCTGTTGCACCGTGGAGCCTGTCCTCGCCAAGTGCGACGCTGCCAATCAGGTTTTGCACCTTATCAATGCCCGCTAGCCGCAACGAACTCGTGAGCATAAGCTCCTTGCAGTGTTTGTAGTGGACCAGCTGGCAGCGCGTGTGGTCCGCGAGCCGGGCGAGGAAGCGAATGGGAGCGGCGTCAGTCTTTGTGAGTACCACAGTGAAGGGCACAGCCAGGCTCTCAAGGTGGTCCAGGTAGGCCATGTCGACCTGCTGCAGCCCACGCGAGGAGACGCAGACAAAGACACGCTTGATGGGGCGTCCCTGCAAGGCAGCACGACCACTTGCATGCTCCTTTGCCTTCGCCGTCTCCTTTTTGCTTTGCTGCCTCGTCGTCGTCGTCGTCGTCGTCGTCTCCGTGGAGTGCCGGCCGCAGGCTTTGAGGTAGGCACGCATGACGGCGACGGCGTTCTCGGCGTCCCCGGCGGGGGTTTCCATGGGGTTGTAGTAGCCGTAGCCAGGGCAGTCCACCAGCACCACCTTGTTGGCCACGTTGTAGAAGTTCACCGAGCTCGTGGTGCCCTGCAGGTGGCCGTAGGGCGCAATCAAGGCGTTCAGCACGGCGTTGATCAGGGATGACTTTCCGCTGGAGGTCCGCCCCACAAAGGCGACCTCCGGCACACACCGCCGTGCCTCGCCCAACTCCGTGTGACTGCTGCCACCGCCGCCGCCACGGCCTCCAGCGGTGAGGATTACAGGAAACTGTTTGGCGTGTGTTGCCTTGGCGGCAAGCCGAACTGTCCCGCCGAACGCAAAGGTTTGCTGCGCCTTTCGCGAGGCGGTGAAGACGGGGGCGGTGCCGTCGCCCTTCGTGATCCAATGCTCCCAGGAGACCCCCCTCTTCAGCCGCCGCTCGATGCGGCGTCCGTGCAGGCCCTTGTAGATCTCCTCAAGGATGCCGCGGTCCAAGGGCCGCTGGCGCAGCTCCTGCCGAAAGGACGTGCGTGTAGGCTGCAGCATCTCCCTCACCGCCCCCTCCACCCCAAACTCCCTCACGAGACTCTCCTGCCGCCGCAGGTGGCTCTTGGAGTCGCGCCACACTTTGGTCACCGCCGCGTCCGTCGCCGTACGGAACTGGTCGAGCTGCTGCTGCCGCCGCAGCGTCTCGGCAGCCTCCGCGTCGAGAAACTGCGCCACCTCTGGGCCCAGTCGGTTGTTCTCGCGGTACTCGCTGCGGTAGGGGGTGGCCGCGGACGGGGGCGAAGGCGAAGCAAACGCCGCGGGGACGCCGCCCCCGGCATGCGTCGACCGCCCGCCCGCCAGCCTGGGGATGATGATCTTGCCGGCGTGCCGCACCACCCGCGAGCTGTGAAAAAGACGCGGGTAGCTGGCAAGGGCGGGCGGCGCAGCGAGGGGCCGCGAAGTGGCGAGTCTGCATGCCATGCGTGTGGGTGGGTGCAATCGCCCTTTCCAGCCGTATTAACGCTGCCGCTGTTGTTGTGTTAGGCCGCCGTCGGAGCCGCTGGCAAGCGCAAGGCAGAAGAAGTCAAAAGAAACGAAGAAGGGAGCGGTAGGACGGAAGGCGAAAACGATGGCAGAGATTCGCTTCAGTGCCACGCAAAGAAATATATGAATTCAAGAACGTATGCACACAGCGCAGCGCCGTCTCCAGAATCCAACCGATGAAGCAGCCACGAAAAGCACCTCTGGCTCTCTCTCCCTCCCTACATTTATATCTTCTTGTTTTTTTTTGTTTCAAGATGGCGCAGAGGACGGCATCCCCCAAAGACAGAAACAGAGAGACAAAAAAAAAAAAGGAAGCAAACTCCTCCCTTCCTTCTTCTTCTGAGAGTGAGCGAGTGAATTGTGGCGCAAGTGTATCGATTTTTGTTGGTGGGGGGTGCACGCATGTGAAGATGTAGCGGGGCATGGTGGGCCACGCGCGTAGTCTCAGGAGGAGTAGGTACGATTCCCGGCACCTGCGACGGCGTCTGCATTTTCGTCTGCAGAGGGCGGCGGGTCTGTCCCAGCGAACTGTCGCATGCACGCGATGCGGCCCACCGCCTTGTAGCCCTCCACGGGCAGCAGGAGCTGCTCCACGTTGTAGAGCAGCCGCGCCCTGCGCTTCGACCCCGCTGCGACGCGCACCTCCACCGGCACGGCGTTGACGTCCACTAGACCCCCCGCCTCCAGCAGTTCGTGGGGTGAGTACCACAAACTTCGGCCGTGAACGGTGTGCGGAGACTCCAAGTCCAAGAAGGAGCACGCCAGCTCCGTCTCCTCGTCGCGGACGAGGAAGGAGGCCAGCTCCGGCGACGGGGAGTTCAGTATCGCCTCGGACTGCAGCTCCGGGAAGCTCAGCAGCCTGCCCGTCATGCCGTCAACCGGCGCGCCCGGGCTCACCCGCTCCGCCTCGAGCACATTTTCCGGGATTCTGTAGCCCTCCGGCAGTATCACCTGTGAGAGGTGGTAGTACTGCTTGTACGCCTTGGCGTCGACTGAAGCCGCCCCCGCGGCCCTGGCCTCGCTGGGTGTGTATTCTTCAAGCGACGAGACGTCGAGCGGGTCGGCGTCAGGGCGGACGGCTATCCCGGCCGCCAGCAGCGCCCCGCCCGAGAAGTACAGTGGGGACTGAAAGCCATGCTTCCCGCAGTGGTCCGAGACGAGGCCCATAAACTTCACACCCTCCGGGCTCCAGTCCCTTGCGTCGCGCGCGCACTGCAAGTTCCCCGTCTTCCCTGAGACAAACGAGCGCTTCAGCAGCTCCGCCGCGTCTGAAATCATAGAGATGTGCAGAAGTCGAGTCATGACGTAGCCAAGCACCGCCGCCGGATACGCACCGGGGCGAATCAGGCCTTGTTTCTCCTGCCACTGCCGGCGCGTGCCCCACCAGTTCGACTCAAAGCCGGCTATCCTGCGGCAGCGCTCCAACTGTCTCTGTGTTTGGGCTCCATACGCCTGCATCGTGAGTACGGAGGCTGGGGCGGTGGCAAGTGGCAGCTGCCAGTGCACCTCACTCTCCGGCAGAAGCTGATCCATGTTAAATAGAAAAATACTTACCGGTACCTGCGCGAGCAGCATGGGCGCATTCTGCGCCTCCCCCGCCTTGCCTACGTGCTGCACACCGTTGAGGTCAAACTTCCAGTTTGGAAGTCTTGAGAGGTCGTGCTCGCTCAGCCACATCGGGTGGTTGCGAAGCGGATGTTCTGGAAGGACGTGGCGGCTGAGGAAACTCTCCAAGTGCGGCATCGCCGGGGTGAAGACGACGCCGCGCGGCCTTGAGTGCCGCATTTATGCCTGCCGCGGCAAGCGTGCGCCCAGAGTTGTGCGACGGTGCCCGCCGCAGCGTCCGTCTGTCTGTCTGTGGGAATGTGTGTGTGTGTGTGTGTGTGTGTGTGTGTGTGTGTCTTTCACTGTCAGAGGATGAATCTCTGTCTCTCTGTGTGGCTGAACTGCGCTCGTAGCTGCAGGCGGATGTGCCCAGCGCCAGCGGAACAAGTGCCGGCCCCTCCCCCCCGCCGGCTGTAGCTGTGCGTCGGCGCGTGTGTCTGCAGGTGTCTAAACATGACGGCAGTCAAAGAGAGAAATTGAGGGAAAGAGAGGACGTGGGCCGCGTGAGCGAGCGTGTCCACGCGCATCTGCTGGCGGTGGTGCACTTTCGCCTGGCACTGCACGTGGCGTGCCGTTACGCTTGCATGTGTCCAACCGGCACTCAATGCATCATCTCTTATCGCGTCTTGGTTCTCCTTCCTCTTTTTCTCGTCTTTTCTTTTCGTTTCTTTTTTTTTAAAGTAATTTCTCTTTATTTGGGGGGGGCGGCGGCGGCGGCGGACACATCCACGTGCAGGCAGGCGGTCGGCGCGGCCGTGGCCTGCGGGGCGGAGAACAGAGACGCCGCAACGAAATGAAAATAAAAAAACAAAACAAAAAGTGGGAAGTAACGGGCGGTGCTTGTGGGCCACACACAGGCACACATGTGAGAGTGAGAGAGACGCGTTGCCTGCCCTCAACGCTTCCGCGCGTTTCCTTCCTCTATTTCCTCCGCAGGCCCCCGCCCCCGCCAGCCCTCCGCCGTGCGTCACTTCCGCTCCACCCACCCCGACCGCCAAATCTATTGGGGCACACACACACACACACGTGCACACGCACGCATGCACATGCGCACTCACCTTAACGCGTCTCCTGCGCCGTTCACGAGCAACCGGGGGGCACCAACAGCGTCGCCCTCTGCCTGCTGGCGGCGGCACCCGTGGGAGCACGCGCGCATGCATCACACACACACACTGACACAGGCACAGGCAGACGCACAGCGAAGAAGAACAATAATATAAAGAACAGGCGTGCGAGTAAAATAGGGCCGAAGGGGGAGAAACAAAAACAATTTAAAAAGACGTAGAGAAAGCGGCGCATGTCTAAAAACAACAACAACAACAACACACTCTCCGCCCTCCTCTGCGCCGCCCCGCCGCCGCCCTCTCGCCTTACGGTAATGTCTCTCTTTCGCTCTATTTTGTTTGTCTTGCGTTTCTTGTTTTTCCCTCTTCATCCATCTCTCGATTTCATTGCTCCTCAAAGCAAGAAAAACTCCTCGTCGCGCCTCTCATTGCCCGAGAAGACCCGCGGCAGAAGTTGGGGCTCATTGCCTCTCTTCGCTCTTTTGTGTGTACGCACGCCTGCATGCATGCGATGCCGTGCGCACAAATCCCTTTTGCGCAGAGCAGACTTCTGCGGCAAGCTGCTCCCTTTTTTCGCCATCTATGCACGTATCATACACATACATATATACATATATATATATGCATATTTAT